AAAATGCAGTACAGAAATATAAGCAAAATATATTACTTCTGCCTTAATTATTTCATCACAGTGACTGGGCATTTTCATATTCTCATTTTCAAAATTTATTCAATAGAACAAATTTGAAGAAAGTCAAATATAGAAAAAGTAGTCTATAAATATTAATTATGTTGTTAATTCACAGAATTTTTTATTTATTTATTCATGCCAACGAATAACACTTCAACTGTGAATAACTTAATATTTGTGTTATAATTAAATTTCATTTCTATCAATAACTGAAAATTAATTAAGTATATGAAACAACCCAAAGCCTGATAATATATAGATACATAGCCAAACGATCACCTTAAATACTCTGGCTATTAATTCACTAATTTTAATCATTAATACTAAGTAATTTGCTACTAGAGGTAGACATTAGGTGCCATCTTATATTAATATAAAATTAATGATTATAATTTAAAATCATCTGGAAGAAAAGAACCGGCTTGAGGCAGGGCTTAAACCCACAACCTTCGCTTGCCTTGTAATGCGCTTGCCAGTAGTGCCACCTGGACCCAGAGCAAGTTTTCGCTTCTAGGTATATTTAAATTTATATAAAACTCTACACAGTTAATCACAGTGCCAGCTGGTTAGATAAGAGGTGGTGCCTAATGTCTACCTCTAGTAGCAAATTACTTAGTATTAATGATTAAAAATAGCAGATTTATAGTCCAAGTATTTAAGACTGAAAATAGCGCACTATGGGGAGAAAAATGGGGAATGTAACCCCATTTTTCTCCTCATAGAGTGATATATAATTTTACTTTAAATAAAGCATACATATTTAGAAGATACATGACAGATTACAAGAGTCAAGTCATTCAGTATGATGCTGAAATTCTGTTCCTTTCATCCTTTACAAAAAATTTTATGTAAAGATTTATTTTATTATTAATATCTTACTTGAAAATTAATAATAGTTTAAACTTCATGAGAATGTGATTTTAATTTATATAAAACAGATTTCTACAATCTCAAGTTTTAAAAATGAGTTAAATAGATTGACATGGTAATTACGTCATGTTTAGTTTGTGTTGGTTTCAGTCTCCTCATAGAGTGCTATAGTTGTTAAAGTTATATGTTATAAACAGGTTATGTTATAATTGTACTTGACTGTAATTTAAGCTAGCATTTTTTAATATCATATAACAAAATGTACACAAATATATCATGTTTAATGTTTAATTTATAATTTTTACATTATAAAATATATAATATATTAAGAATTATTGTTTTATAAAAATTTGTGTGTGCAGTTGAAATGAATGAATTTAATAAAATCATTTAAAACAGTATATTGTTTGTGTCATAAAAAAGAGATAGATCTGATAATGTTGATTATCCTTAATTATAATGTTACATATAATTTTGTTTTCTGATAAAAATATGATTAAATAATAATACTCCCATAAAGATATTTTATTTTTATAACAATTTAAAAGTATTCCTCAATATTTTCAATTAATTATTAATCCAATAAAGTTTTTATGGTTATTTTCTTTAAAAAGTTCATTTATATGTATTTAGATTTTGTTATAATAATCTGAAAAAACACTAGATTAACACTAAAAATACAGTAAAATTTCACTTGGTGGCCACCTCTGAAATTCTCCTGTAAAACTGCAAATAAGTTTAAATTTAAATCCAACTACGGAATGGCGGCCACCTTACTTAAGTGACCAAAATGACATTTATCCTCATTTTATGTGACAAATAGTAATGGAAATGTTTCCATTCCTAAACCCAATGAATTTTAATTAAGCTTTGCTGCTATAATTTTAAAGTAGTTTGCTGAGATTCTTCTGATAGATGAAGATTTTATTTTTTGTGAATGTCATTTATACTAAACAAAGTATCTGTATTTTCATAACTTAGTAACAGAACAACTTTATTAATTGCACCACTTTATAGGAGTATAACACTGCATATACTGTACTTACAACACAATATAGTATATGACAAAGTATAAAATTAAAAAAATACATACAAACATTAAAAAATAGTACATAATAAATATAACATAATACTTATTAAAATTTGCCCTTTGTAACTAGCCATGGTAGAATTAAGAAACAAATATTGATTAATTTTAATCCTTTTTACAAAATCAAAAATACACTTGTAGTATGGCTTTTGAATTAGGATAGTGATCTTGGCCACTCAAGCCCAAGAGTCTATAATTCCATTCTTAACATGAATCTACTGTATATCTATCATATCATATCAAGGATATTCATATACAAGATGTGTTACTGTTTCCTGTTTACCTGAATCACAGCAGCAAAAGGAAGTTTCTGCCAAGTTAAATTCTTCCTGATAAGCTTTAAAATTGCCATGACCTGAGAGTGATTGTGCTAACTTAAAACTATAGTGAGTGATAGGAGAACTTAGTGAAAGTGTAACATCCAGAAAGAGAAGTTTACTTGTGTTAGCTTTTTGCATTTTCTTTCCAATTCATTCCAGAGCTGAGTAAAGTACACTGTCAACATTTGCTAGTACTGTCTATGGACAGGTAAACAAGTTACCTTCATGCTGCTATCAGCTACAGCCTTCTTTGCTTCCAGATTGGCAGTTCCATTTTCCTTTCATAATTTAGTAAGAAGAAAAACAATTATATATTTGTTCAATAATTTTATACATAATCTGATTGTATTTTGTAACAATATAATTATATAAATCAACAATAATCACTGATATGTTGTTTGTAACACTCGATGAAGAATATATTCACAAACTTAGATGTAAAGCTGATTTAATTAACTTTTTTTTCAAAAGTGGACATTTCTCCATATTTAGTGACTTTTGTTTAATAATAATTCCCTGTTAAAATGTAGTATTCAAATAAAACCTTTACTACCATTTCATAAAAACACATTAATTTTGTCTAAGAATACTAAACAATTCTGTTTAGTACTGTATTGTTTGTATGATACTTGAATGAACCTATTAAAAATAGTTTGATTTTACTGTACATGTGCCATATATTAGGTTGGGGAAAAAGAAATCCATTATTTTTTCACTAGATGGCTGTAGTGATACATATCTCATAAAATATTGATGACACAAGTTCAGACTTGTGCTTATTGGAAAAGTGACATTCTGTACTAAAAAAAATTCTTTTACAGTTTTTTGATTGGTCAATTCAGTTGTGAGTTATAGGGTGTAAAAGATGGAAGTTAACAAAGAGAAAATTAGGTATGTTTTACAATTTTGCTTCAATAAAGGCGAAAATGCAAGCCAGGCAGCTGAAATTGTGAATGGTGTTTATGGTCCTGATACTGTCACAGCCAATTATGTGCAATTTTGGTTTCGTCAGTTCCGTTCTGGTAATTTCGATGTTAAAGATGCACCTCGCACAGGTAGGCCCGTTGTCGAAAATGTCAATAAAATCATGGAAATGATAGAAGTAGACTGGCACGTTAGCACTCGTAGCATTGCCCAGGAGCTAAAGATTGACCATAAAACAGTTCTAAACCATCTGAATAAAGCTGGATTCAAAAAGAAGCTTGATGTTTGGGTGCCACATGAATTGACGGAAGAAAACATTATGGATCGAATTTCCATCTGCGAAGCCTTGGCCAAACGGAACGAAATCGACCCATTTCTTAAACGGATGGTGACTGGGGATGAGAAATGGGTTACATATGGCAATATTGTGCGATAACGATCGTGGTCAGTGTGGTGAAGCGGCTCAAACGGTGGCTAAACCAGGACTAACAGCCAGGAAGGTTTTGCTGTGCATTTGGCGGGACTGGAAAGGAATCATCTACTATGAGCTGCTTCCATATGGCCAAACACTAAATTCGGACCTCTACTGTCAACAATTGGACCGTTTGAAGCTAGCGATTGATCAGAAGCAGCCAGAATTGGCTAACAGGAGAGGTGTTGTACTTCATCACAACAACGCCAGGCCACACACATCTATAGTGACTCGCCAGAAATTCCAGGAGCTTGGTTGGGAAGTTTTGATGCATCCACCTTATAGTCCAGACCTGGCACCAAGCGATTACCATCTTTTTTTATCATTACAAAATTTCCTCGGTGATAAGAAATTGGCATCAAGAGAGGATTGTGAAAATCACTTAGTCAAGTTTTTCGCCAATAGGGACCAGGGCTTCTACGAGAGAGGAATTATGAAGTTACCTTTAAAATGGCAACAAATTATAAAACAAAACGGTGCATATTTGATCCAAGTCGAACAACCGAAACCATGTTAAATAAAAACTTGAAATGAACGTAAAAATAATGGATTTCTTTTTCCGCAACCTAAATATTATATTATTCTCTACAAGTATTATTCAGTGTTAATACATTAACCTGTATGAAAGTTTGGATTATTGTATATTGCAAATTGCAAAAGATGTACATTACAATATTATATGAATTTTTTTTCTTTTTATAATCTGTATTAAACTTATAACAGTGTTCTAATTACAGTTTTGTATGTCAGTTTTTTCCAATGTAGGTGACCATCTCACTTATTTGGCCTGAAATTGTACTCTAATGTTGACCAATTAAGTGAGATTTTACTGTATTTTATATTTAAACAATTATTTTAATGTTGCTATAATAAAGATTACTTTTAATATATCATATAATGATATTGGGATAGTTAATCATATATGATAAATGTTTTTTAGAAACATTCACTTGTAAAAATTAAAATTCAATAACAATAAAAGTGTGTTATAAGTTAAACATAAAATGATTACAAATTTCATGTAAATGTTTCATTACAATAATTATTGTATGTAAAAATACTCCTGTTTGAATAATTTAAATGAAATCACTATAAAATAATTTATTTCAATGGTGGTTGAATATATAATAGAATTTTAAAATATACATGTGAATAAATTGAATTAATTTAAAATTTTACTTATAAAATAATTGTAATAATTTATTAATTAGCCATCTTTGCTAAAATATTCATTATTATTAATCTATTTTAATATTTTCAATAGTGTTTTATGAATTCAATTCTTCAATGCTTGGCTCATACTGGTCCTTTATTAGATTATTGTCTGCCTAAAAATTATCTTGTTGACATTAATTATACAGCAAGTTCCATGAAAGGATCTGTTATTAAAGGTGAGTTAGATATTTACACATATTTGACAAAAAATTTATGCACCCAGATAGAATTGTCCCATTACTGCAAAACTTGACATAGCAATGTCTGAGATAGGTATGTAAATGTCGCCGGAGGGTCAACACCTCTTCGATGCCCTGTCAGGACTGACTCCACTGTGTCCCGATTGACACGGAAGCTGAGACGGCGTGTTGATTCAGTCACGCGAGCAGCCGCATGTGTGGGCGATTGGGCAGGATGGAGTGAGAGACAGCACACCGGAAGTGACTCGCGCAGAGATTAGGATAACGAAACAACCTAGTTTAATTAGGAAAAAATTTAAACAAAAATACATGGATCCCGGAGTCTGACTGATAAGAGTGATATACAATTATATACATGCCTTAGCGGCTGCTGAGAGAGAGACAGAGAGTTTACAAATATGCGCATGGTGCTAGATACCTTTCATAATAGTGAGTTTTTTGTAGAATGGAGCAACCTCATTGACCGGAGTTGGAAAGTTTGGTGAGGACTCGACAAGATAGTCCTATTAGGTGTTCGGTGGTTATGTTAATCCAAGGATGACACTCACTAATTCTGTTGGTGATCAGGAAAGTTCACTAAGGTAAATGAGAAGGAGAAAGAGCCAGAGGTGATGTGTATAGTAAAACTGGATGATGACTGACCAACTTTTTCGGTTTCTTGTTATATTCAACTGATGAACTTGAGACAATAGGTCAGGAGGTTATGAGAAAGCGTGACTTAGTTACTGAGAACTTAACAAACCAGTAACTCCCAGGTGCAAGAGTTGACAGTTATCCAACAAGATGGTATAGTTAGAAGGTTATGTTATATCAACTTATATGTAGTGCTGAGTTATTGACAATAACAGTTTATTGACAGATCCTTTTTATATCTTATGACTATCTTATAATTTAGGTCCTAATCACAAGAGAGAGAGGGAGAGTTCACAATTGATTGTGAGTAGGTATTTATCTTGTCAACAGGAAGAGGGTGTCTTTGGGAAAAGTCTTCTAGTGTCGGTACTTATTTTGAAAACATCAATAGAAGGGAAAATGGCAATTATTATAGTTCAGACTGTGAGTAAGACTATGAAGAGTTTGATCGGACAAGGTGCTTAATAGACAGTTGGATCATGACAATTGAACAGGACTATTAGCTTGAATTAGATTACAATCCACAGGAACTAGACATCTGACTTGGATGGTTCCCAGAAACTGGACAACCTGTATGATTTTTTGGTGGACCTTTTATAATTTTTGTTTGTTTCCTGAGAAATAACGTTCCAAAAATGGTAATATTGAATGGAGCTTTATTTTTTATTTTTTGTCCAATCAGATTTTTTTTCTTGCTTCTGGGGATGAGTAACTATCTCAGGAAAAAGTGTTGTTAGAAAGGAAATGTTATCTAGTTACTTCCTTGTCAGTTTTCTCCTAAAAGTCTTGCCTTTGTTAGCTTTAATTTAATACATTAGAAAATTATTTTATTAATTTTAAGGATTCATAGCCCAGGATCTCTCACAAAGTACTAGAGATTCCTTTTAAATTATATTGTTGTTTCAAAAGAAATTATGCCCTTGCTATTCACTTTTTATCATTGCCATTACATTGCACTAATAAAGTTTCATATGATTCCAATGACTTCTTGGTGCATAACTTTTTTGTCAATGAATGTTTTAAAACTATGATTAGAATTACCATGAATATTTATTTTATGTAAATATTTTACATGTGTGCACATTATATATGCATTTATACATTTACAGACATAAAATGTTTTTTGTATATTTGTATTTGTGTGCATATTCAAGTAATTTAAAAGTTTGTTAAGTAAATAAGTTGATAAATACTGAAGTATATCTTAATATCCATTAATCTGCTTAATTTATTTTTGTTTTGAAACAGTTTATTATTTTAAAATATTTATAGAGTATAATCTCTGTAACCTGGCCATTTGCTAGTTCACCACGTCCAACAACAACTCTGTGGTATTATCAGCACTGTTGCCAAGCCATAGACATGTGTCCCACTAGTTCAGTTTCCATTAAATTTGAACATTTCCTCATGATATTGAACTTGAGCTTCATCACTTGAGCTTGGACAATATTAAAGATTGTTAGGTTTATCATGTTAGACTGCTGAAATAAGTACAATAACTTACTACTGTGATCAAAAAGTATTGGGAATGGCTCATTTAAACTGCATGCCTGCAAGAAGGTGCTGCTGCTGCTTGGTACAACTTTCATTAGCATCTAGCAACAATCTCTGTCATCATTTGTTTTCATTTTGAATAAATGCTTTTTTTTCTTTTTGTAAAGAATTTTTGTGTTGGCAATTTTTCAAAATATCTAATGTAATCATGCAAAGAAAGTTCATTAAAGTTTGTTTTCATAATGGAATTACTGCTATAAAAAAATGTCGGAAATGTTACAAAAAGCTTTTGGTGTGAATAGTCTAACAAAGACAACAGTTTTAGTGGTACAGTACAAGATATTCAAGGAAGGCAGAGAATGTATTGAAGACAAACCATGCTCTGATAGACCACTCACTTCAGCTGATGAACAACATGTCATTCAGGTCATTTGGGACATCATTGAACATGTTCCAGTATCATTTGGATCTTGTCAAGCAATTTTAAAAGATTGTGGCATATCACTTCTCAAGTTGTTCCAAAAATAGCATTGTGTTCAAGTGGTCAAGGAAATGTTTTCTTGAGGCAAATCATTTTTAAAATGCATCATTATGCATGATGAAACATGGGTCTTCGCTTTTGATACCAAAACAGCTCAACAATCAAGTGAATGGCACTCAAAAGGTAAAGAAAGACTAAAAAGACCACATCAAAGTCAATCAAAAATCAAGATCATGTTGACTATTTCCTATAATAATTGTGTTGTTGTGTATCATGAATTCCTTGTGACTGGCCAAACTATCAACAAAGAATATTTAAGTGTTTTGTGTTGATTATGTGAAGAAATTTGTAGAAAACCAACCTGATTTGTGGTGAGAAAATTTATGGATTTTGCACCATGATAATGGACTTGCTCATCAGCTCTTGTTGTTCATAAATTTTATACAAATATTGTTCCACAAGCTCCATATTCATCTGATATGATACTGTGTGACTTCTTGTTTCCTCAAGTAAATTTTTGCTTCTTAGTCATTTTGAGTTGATTTATGCCATAAAACAAAATTTGCTATGAGTCCTGAAGGAGTTTCACAAAAACGATTTTAAACCATGTTTTGAGGATTGGAAAAAACATTGGCGTAGGTGCATTGCAGTGTGGAGGGAATTACTTTGAAGGGGTCGAAATAAATTCAAATCTTGCATTTTATTGAACCATTCCCAATATTTTTTGATTACAGGAGTATAACACAATACTATATAAATATAAAAATCAGTCCCCAAAATTTCCTACCAACTCTTGCTAAATTTCCCACTAAATTTAGTGGTAATCAACCAACTTGGCAACATGATTACTGTTGATTGGAAGTCCACTTAATACAATATACTAATATCATTCACTATACAAATATTTACTTTCTGAATGATTAACATCTTTTACTCTGGTCTAAAATTGATGCATATTATCAGATCCTGAGGAGTAGTCATGAGTGATGAAATCCTGAGGGGTTCCAAGACAATAATTGGGATACAAATGGATATATTTGCTTCCAAAAAGCTTTATTTTATGCAATTATTTCCTATTTTTATCTAAGAAGTAGTGAATAAAGTAGAAAGTAATTGCAGTATTAATTAGCTACACCTATTATTTTCATAAGTAAACAATTTATTATTCTCAAAAGTTTTCTTCTGTATGGTACAGTTGGAAACATTGGTTCAAGGTCTAATATTGCATTCAACACAATAGTATGTTGTATTTTTCGTGATATTTTTCTTAATGCAGACTTTGTAGTGGTGTTGAACAGTAGGTTGAGCCAGAATCCTCTCAATGAAATGACATTCTACTAATTTTTCTGGCTGCTGCTGAAGGGTAAGCAGAAGGAATTTTTGGTGTCTCTTGAATAACTTCTTTCACCAGACCAAGAGAATCTTCTAAAAAATTAGTCATAATCTTGCAACCAGAAAGATTTTCATAAATAATTCTTGAATTATGAAGTGCCAAATTGAGTAAATAAAAGAAGAGCTTGTGCCACCATTTTACTATTTACTGCTGTAAGCTGCAGTAGGACAGTACTTGATCTGCCTTGTTGACACTTGTCTTATACTAGTATATTCCAAGACAGATGATGGCTTCATTTTTTCTTGTTAGCCCGTGTTTTGACTTTCTCATTGTGATGTCCAGTAGACAAATTGCACACATCATGACATCATGCACATCTTTCCATTTTATAGCCAATGTGGCACCTTTTCTTTTGGCTATTCATTTTCCCTTCATCAGTTCAGATGCAAAAGCAACCATTTGGAAGATCACATCAGTTGAATGTCACTGTACCCTGGTTGCTACTGTTTGCCAGTGCCAAAGCAATTCGAATAATTGGGGACTGGAGAACCAGCTGTGTATGAATATGCAGTGTCTATGGTTCTTATATGGTTCACAAAGATGCATCACCAACAGATTAGCTTTGTCTCTCATGAATTTCTTTCCTGGAAAATAGTCTGAAATTTGGTTTTCACTATTTGGAAACTGTGTTCTCCACTATTACACAAACTTTGTGGAGAGGACTGAAGTCCTGATTTCCTCTCAGTATTGTAGTTTCATTGTCAGTAACATGAAAGAATGACAATATAAAAGAAAATCGATCTCTTGACATTTGTACATAGTTGATAAAAGAAGATTGGTGGAACACACTTGTACTTCAATAATCTCAAAATTTTGATTTAGATGAAATGGTTACATAAAGTATGATTCCAAAAAATATCTTTAGGTCATCAGCAATCACAAGTTTTCAAGTCACATGATTGGAATGTTACGACAGATTACCTGCCCTTTTTTTCAGCCTCTCTTGCTGTTGGTATCTGTTTCCTGAACAATAGTGTTCAAAAGATCTTCATCAAGAGATATCCTGGAAACTTTTACAGGGGGTTATCTCCTCTGGAATAACATTGTTATGAATTCCACAAACACTAGTGTAAGGTGGCAGCTGTTGTTTATGCTCCAAGTTTGTTTCATGTGTTGAGACTGGAAGTATGTATTGGTTAGATGTAGAGTTATGTCAGTACCAATATCAATCCAATGCTGTTATATCAGCATATCAGAATGTTTCCAATCCCAAACTGATGCTCTGATTTTTTTCAATACACATTCTTAGACACCCACGATTGCTGTAAATAATTGAGCTATAATTTGGAATTTTCTAAATTATAGTCCAATTATTTACAGCAATTGTGGGTGTCTATTTACTTAGCATCAGGTTTCAGTAGATGTTTTGTATACACATTTCTTCACATTGTTTTAAAATGGCAGGCATTCAAACATTGCAGTGAGCATACTATGCTGTAAAACTAATTCATGATAGACAAAGTATCCTATCCATATGTGATTCACCACCTATTGCCACATGAAGTATGACTGTTGTTGCTTTTTGTCAGCAGCAACTTGGTGGGAGTGCTGCTTTGTGGACAGCAGGACATGATTTTGTGATGGACATTTAATCTATGTACAGTGTTGCCAGGTCTGGCAATATCTCAAGCCAGTTGGTGATTTGGCAACTATTTTTTTCAATCTGATGATTTTTCTAAACTATTGTAAATCTATTCAATGTGTGTTTGAATTTTTTCTTAAAAATAGGGCTAGAATAAAGCCACCCTAGTCTGAAGGGACCCCATGAATCAATTTGTAAATATTTATTTCTTTATGTTTGAATTTAAATGATTAGTGAACAAAGTGAATGTTTTCTAAATCAATGAGCTTTCAGGCTTTCACTTATCACCAATACCAGTAGAGTATGGACAGAAGCAAATATTGGATCAGATCGTATTGGTAAATTTAGTTTTGTATCATTTCTAGTAAAATATTTTTTTCTAGTCTCATTGGTATATCTTGTTTGAAAATATCCTTCAGTTTATCATAGAATATCCAGCTTAAGTGAATTTTCTTCAGAAGATATACAAAAGAAAAATTTAAATTTATGATGTGGCCTTGCAATAATCTCACTATAATTTGTGTTTTATTCTTCATAATGATATATGAGTTACTTAGAATATTTTTGTCTGAATTTATTTTTTAACTTATAATATTTCATTCAATTAATTTATTTTTTCTTGTAAATTGTCCAAATTTATTCTATCAAAACAATTTTATATACCTAAACCAAAATTTTTTTTTTTAAATAAAATATTATTGAATACACTTTTTTCTCTGAAGATAGATTTCATTTTATGTAATTATTTTTGAATGTAAACTTCATTAAAGAAACTAAAATAATTAGTTTTCTAGTCAACAAACTTGTTTAATAACAATGAAAAAACTTATTAGTATCTATATTAGATATTTCAAAAATGTTATTGATATGAAATTTTTATTATAACAATTTTTAAATAGCTTTTGCAAATCTTGTACAACATATGTGGAAAAATGATGAACCAGTAAGTCCTCAAGAATTGAAAGGACAAATACAAAAGTTTTCTCCTCGTTTTACAGGACATAAGTAAGTAATCATTAAATAAGACATAAATCTCATGTATAAACCTGTTTTATTATTTTTAAATTTAAAAATTTTTAATTAATGCTTGATACAGTGATGATGATATAACCTTTTAGTTTTCAAAATCAAATGTTGTTAATATCTAAAAGTTTAATACTAACAAATTATCTTAAAAATTATATTAAATGAATTGCATCATAATTTTTCAAATTACTGTTATCAGTTTATGAAAAACAAAATTTTATCTTACTAATTTAGTAATTATTTGAATTTGAATATTTTTTTTGCATATTTATTAATGCAAATTTATTGCAAAAAACAAGAATTTCAGAAGAACCAGGACCTTCATCATGAAAAATGAACTTTACATTTCTGTGTGCATACGTTTGTGTTATTTAACATATGTTATTATGCAAATTAATATAAATAAACTTAAAATTAAAGTAAAATCTGTTTATTTTTGGTCATGTGTCCCCTTTCCCTATTTACTCTGTGTTAAAATAACTTTGTTTAATGCTGTTTCATTTAGCACTTTGTTGTCAAGGAACATATCCTGCGTATTAAGCAGGGTCTTACTATACTTTAAATATGCCATTAGGTAATCAGTTTTGCAATGAATAAGGAAGATAAAAATTCTTATGTATATCTTAGGATGATTTTTTTACTTTGTATCAGTGTTGATTTTAATTTTTAAAAAAATTATGATTGCAATTGCATTGTGTTGTTGAAATAATTAAAAAGCCCTTTGATTTAGTGAATAACATCTATTAAGATTGTAATGAAGTAGATGGTAGCTTGTTCATAAGCTAGATAAAAAATACAATCTAAGATTGTGTTCTTTGTTTATCTAAACAGTGTTTGCTTTTACACTGATAAAATTAATATGAATTAGGGATAATATTAATAGTGTGATGAATACATGAATATTTGTTGTTTAATATTGATTTTGTATTATGTATAGTTTTAAAAAATACTTCAATAATTCATATTTGTATATTTTTTATTTCTCGATTAGTAAGTTTGTGAATTTAATATATTTTTAATATTCAAACCTATTATTAAGTATGTTGACATTGACTTTATTGTGTAACAAAATGTAATGAATTTAAATGTGCTAAGAAACTTTTTTAGGTTTTTTATACACAGTTATTAAGCATTTTAAACATGCATATTCATTATAATTCAGTTATTCTGTTCTAATTTCAGCCAGCATGATGCACAAGAATTTTTGCATTTTCTGCTTGAAGGATTACACAATGATGTTAATCGTGTTAAGAACAAACCAACTCCATTGGAAATAAATATTGATGAAAAACTAAAGTAAAAGTTTTTGCATGATTTTATATATTTATTAATGTATTTTAAAAATAATAATCAGATAAATGCATTTAAAATAAGAAATGTATGATTTAAATTATTAAAATAATGAAATAGACTATTTATATGAGGGTTGATTAAAAAAATAGGTTATCTACACCAATCAAAAAAAGAACCTGTCTCAAATAACAAATGAGTATTAAAATGTTATTTATATATATGTAAAATATTTTTCAACATTGACCCTGTTGATTCAGACTGTATCTGGTTGTACAACCAGCTTTTCCATTCCAAGTTGAATAAAATCATGTCCCTGTTGTTGCAGCCATATTTTTGTATCTGCTTTCACATCATTGTCACAACAGAATCAAGTGCCAGATAAATGTTCTTAGAGGAGCAGAAACAGTTGAAAATCATGGGGGGCAGATCAGGACTGTAGGTAGGATGTCTCCACAGTTCTCACTTGAATTTTAGGAGCACTTGCTTTGTGAAGAACAGTGTGAGGTCTCCTGACCTGCAGGAGACTGAATCCTTCACTGAACAAGTCTGAGCATATCATCAAATGGCTTCATGAAACTTTCTAAAGATATCACAATATCAATCAGCAGTGATTGTGAGACCTGGCTCAAAGAAGTCAACAAGGAGAATGCCTGATGAATCCTAGAGAATGGTAGCCATGACTTTTCCAGCAGATGGTATCATTTGAACATATTTTTGGTTGGTGATGAAAGGTATTTCATTCTATTCCATCTATTTAACTTGTATATAAAAATTTACCTACCCGCTTCATCACATATTTGATTTATAACTGTTATAACCGTATTTTTTGATCAACCCTTGCATCTAATTAATACTTGAAAAAATAGTCAGACTCTCTCTCATATTTTTGTGAACTTAACTTATTTTCATAAATTGAAATTATATTTTCTGGAATAGTTTTAGTTATATAATGTCATATTTTTTATTGACTATTCCTGTATGATATTTAAACATGGAATTTAAAGAATAACAATGGGAAATTTATACTAGTTGTAGAGCTTAAATTCATAAAATAGATCCTCAGTTTTGTTTTTTATTTAAATGTTATTTATAAATTAAGAATTATATCTGATTAATGGATCTCTTTCCAGAGGTAGAATAACTTCACTTTAGACTGTGGTTAAAATTCTAATGCAGGCCCCTTCCCTTCCCATTCCAAAAATTCCAAGTCTTGCATCCTCCAGAAAAAGCCTTTGGCCCTTGATTGGAGAAAGAATCGTCTAACTCAGGATCAAAACAACTGTTTTGACTCATGAGTCATAGACTTGTTTGCTTGACGCATACAGGCCCCTGTTGGCTTCATGCCCTAGTTTGGTCAAACCACTTTGCATCACTGAAATCCCATCACAGACTTCCATATTTTGAGTACGGGTAGTCCACAACTTATGATGGACTCTTGTTTCAATACCTCTATTGTAAGTTGAACATAAAAACAACAATGGTAAGAAGGTGCCATAGCTCAGAAACCAAGCCCCAAGCTTTCATAACATGCTATATTATAATCAGTTATTATGTATATATATCATAATTAGATTAACACTGCTGGATTTTAAGTGTAATGCACTTTGTATCAATGTTTAATAATTTAATTAATTAGTTGTGATATTTTATTAACAATGATCCCTGGATACATACACAGAAGTCAACCATACTCATATGAATCAAGAATTATACAAAAGAAGTATTATCAAAATGAGAAAAAAAATTTGAGATAGAGTAATAAGTTCAATTTAAGATATGGTATTTTATTAATGCAATAACATGTACAGTACATACTTGTATTAGGTAAAAATAAAATGTTTTTGACATCATTAGCAGAAATAGTTGGTCAATAATTTCTGATACCTGATTCTTTTGGCTGGAGAAATTTTTGAAGGTAAGCAATAGCCACAAATACATCCTGACTAATATCTTTCTGACATTGAAAGAAAGTTCTCAATATTTCAATGACTGTTTTTTTGCTTATTTTGTGGTAATAACTTTAGGTGAATCTGTCTAACCTTCTAGTTTGTCATTGTCAGAAACTCTCCTCACATTTTCCATGATCTTATCTGTCAACATTCTGTACGTTACCAGGGAATTGTCCATGTCCAAAAATTCTTATTGATTTTTGACATAGAGAAGGGTAGTGGAAATAACTTAGTTTCACCAATTAGAAGATAATCAAACCAAAATTTAGGAAGTTAGGAGGATTGGATTGCCAACAGATTCAAACCAATATACAATGCCAAAAATTAAAACAAAATTAGTTAATAAAAATTATACAAGGGCTTATACTCAGTTTAGTCTTATTTACGTAAATATCAAATATCTTCAAAAAATAATTGAAACAATTCCAGAAGTCTATATGTATTTTAAGTATGTAAATATGTGTATACGTATACTATGTATATATACTCACAAAGTAGATATTTTGTTAACTAGACCTTCACCCACTGAGAGAAAGCCAAGCCAATTTTTTTGAAAACAAAAGATTAAATGGAAGGATATTTGTTGAACAATCCCATTCCCAAATTTTTTTAGAAAGCAAGTTTCAAACCTTTTGATTTTCATAAGTCTTCTAACATCTGTATTACTCTGTAATTAATTTGGTGCATCATAGCAATATGTATATACAAGGCATATTCAATAGAAAACCAGAATTGTGCCTTTAAAAGTCAGGAGGATGAGCAGTAGCATAGTAATTTTGACATACAACTTCCAAGTTAAAGGCAACAGTAACTGCAATTGGCAACAGTTGATTCATGAAAACATAAGACAACAGACTGATAAAATGGCAGCACCTCTCCAGCAGTGCATGAAACAGGAGTGGTGTAGTGTTGTCCAATTTTTGACAGAAACCAATTAACATCCATTGGCATATGCAGATTCAGTACAGTAAGGAGACAACTTCACGAGTTGCAAACAGGTGTATGAACAAAGTTCTAAAGTTCCAAAAACAGTCACAGTTCTGTGGAAGATTCTTCATGACATTCACTGCAATCCCAGCTGTAGAGAATCTTCCACAGAACTGTGGCTGTTTTCAGAACCTTAGAACTCTCTTCATACACCTGTATGCAACTTGTAGTTGTCTCCTTACTGTATCTGCATGTGCCAATAGATGTCAATTGATTTTTGTCAAGAATTTGACAACACTATACCACTCTTGCTTTGTGCACTGCTAGAAAAACACCATTATTTTATTGGTCTATTGTCTTATGTACTTGAGTCTCAGCAGTGTTGCCAGTTGCAGTTACTGTTGCCTCTGACTTGGAAGTGTTGTGTGTCAAAATTATTACAATATTGCTCATCCTCCCAACTTTTAACGACACTTTTCTGATTTTCTATTGAATGTACCTTTGTGTTTGTTTGTTCATAAATTAATGTAAAATTTAATAGAATTTCAGTTCAGTATAAAATAATTTTTATTTTATTAAACTGATGATTTCAAAGTAATACAGCTGTCTATTTCTTTCTGTAGTGATAATGATAAAGCAATTGAATCATGGAAACATTATTTGAGGTTTGACAACAGTCGAATTGTAGGTAAGTTTATTTGGAATTATAATAAGATTTACACACTTAATTTTTTTTAAAAAGTTTTATATATGTAATTTTATTATTATATTTAAATTTATCTTCAGATATTTTTTTGAAAAATTAAAAATATAAAGAATTAGTTGCCTTTTTTATGAAAGAGTTATTATTGCCTGTTTGATGGGCTGCAATTTGAAAAAATTGTAGACCTATAAATTCTCACCGTCATTTGAATGTCCATCTGTCCATCTTTCTTTAATCTCGAGAATGGAGTTAGATAGATGAAAGACAAGACCAGATATGGAAACCTTAGGGACAGGAGGCCCTGATTAACTATATACAAAGTTTTGATGTGAATTGGAAGCCATGTTATTTCAATTCAAAAATTTTCTCCTGAAAGAAGTTAGATAGATAGATGACCGGCAGTTTTATAGCAAACAGAAAAGTATGATGTACAAGACACTCTAGTACTAATTTATTTAATTTAAAATAAATTTAAAATATTATTAAAAATTGCAGCCTGGCATTGTGATGATGTCACAATAAATAATTGCTTATTATGTATAAATTTTGGCAGGACTTGGGATGACTTATCTTAAATGGTTTTATTTGTTCTAGTAGAGAGGAGACTGGAAGATAGTAAAATCTTCGTCTTGCATCAGGGTCCTGACCCCAGCTAAAAATTACATGTTTAGCTTGTGATTCTACCTATCAGCAGTTTAATGTCCAAGTGATGACATCTAAAATATTTGGAGGGGTAAATTGAGTGGAGAGGTCATGTTGATTCAGAAGATGGAGGCTCAGACAAATTCCTTATATAAACTAAACTACTCTATTTATTGGGATATACAGGGTGATCAGAACATGTCTGTCCAAAATTGAAAGGGGGTTAGAGGAGACGAATATAAAAGGATTCGCAGTACAATGCTTGTCTGGAAATGCCACGTGAAAGTCTTGGAGAGTAAAGAAAGTGGAAAGGTAAAAGGAAAGAGACACAAACAAATGTAACAAGCCCTTTATTAAATCAACATGTCACAGCAAATGCTCGAAAGAGTGTTTGCTGTGACAACCATAATACAATCTTCACATTGCCACCACATGGAACGGTGTACATTAGCATAAACACCAGCCACATCATGTCTGCTAGCATTGAAGGACCTGCTTTCGCGAAGCTGTCTGTGCACTCGCTCGAAAGTTTGACGATTCAGTATTTCTCTGTTGGGAAATCGTTCCTTGTACAACCTTCGCGCAGCTCTCCCATTTCCATTTGCAGCTCCATACATCAGATGGATATCTGCTAGTTCAGCATTTGTGAAGCACTACATGCTGTATGAAGTCACAGTGGGGAATGATAGCTTCCTGCATTGCCGGCTTGTTTCGACTGCACTACACAGCGCCCTCTACCACCTTCACGCGGCGTTTCCGGACAAGCATTGTACTGTGAATCCTTTTATATTTGTCCCCTCTAACCCCTTTTAAATTTTGGCCAGACATTTTCCGATCACCCTGTGTGTGACATTGAGTCACTAAAAATCATATAAGTTAACACAAAAATTAATCTTAATTTAACATTAGCATAAAGTTTTATGAATTATAACACTTACGTGTTGTGGCGTTACTGTAAAGCCACAACATGTAAGTGTTATAATTCATATAATAAACGTTGGCGTGAAGTGACATTGTATTATAGCATAATGTTAATTTAACTTTGACAAACTTTTTCAATCTTTTGATAGATCTGCTAAAGATCTATATTACTTTACATTCTATTTTAGAATGTTCATGAGAACATTACAACTTGTCAAACTTAAGAATAAATTTGAAAATTCAAAGCACAAGATTCATTCTTAAGATTCATTCTTAAGATTCATGTCACTGTTATGTCACAACCAATTACAAAAGAAACATGCTGAGTGAAAGAACACTCCACTAAGGATTTGATCTTGCCAGTTTGGGAAAAGCCAGAAGACTCATAAGGAAGATAGACATAGGAAACTAAAATTTCTTTCTTGATATCATCACCAACCAACTAGATCTCTTAATTAGAGATCTAAGTTTGGAAATATCTGAATTCTTTTACTAAAGTGTAAGTTTTCAGATCCTTGTCATATGAATGATAATGAAGCATACTAAGTTAGACAAGCTTCTTAAATAAGGGACTTGTTTTAGAGTTACATCAATGTCCTTCATCATATGACAACTCAACATTGTAGAAGCCAGCCTGCAGTATTAGAGATTGATTTGAATAAATCTAATCATTAGAAAGAATTGCCTTTAGAAAGTCACCACATATTATGTGATATTCCTAAATTAGTACCAGTAGCCTTCTACTAGGTTCAGAAATTGCTGATGGTTGAGTTAGAACATTCACTAAGAATTTTAAAGGGGATCTAGATAAAGTCCAGAAAAGGCCAGAGATTCACCAAAAAGCATCTTGACAAAGACACTGCTGACTGCCAGAACCAGGCACTTACCAGAAGGGCCAAATATTCTATGAAGTAATTTCCAGTCTTTTAAGGATCCAAGAGATTCAATCCTGAAAACAGTCAAAGGGACTTCTTGCTTATGAGCAAAGCAAGGACCTCAATGCATTCCCTGAACCAGGTAATGCTTCTGGGAGAACATTACCTGGATTGCTAGCTAGGATTGTTGAGTCTTCAACAGTTCCAAAAAATTGCCTAGAAAATAAATTTCAGAGGATTGTCTAGACCAGTCATGGTGAACCTGTAGCCTACTTGACGATTTAAAGGTATCTGCATTGAATGTTTAGAAAGTATTAGATTTTTATAAATTATAAAGAAAATTTGATAGATTTCAAACTTTACATATATAGTGTGAAAGTGGGGTTCAAAAGCTGTCATGAAAAATCTTAAAGGCCACTTTAATTATTATGAACCTCAGATAGAAAAATTATCATCAAATAAATAACAGATTTCACATTAAATGAAATATTTGTTTCTGTTACAATCATATTATTATTATTTTTACACTTATATGGATTTGATAATGTTTTACATATTGAGGTGGACAAGAAGCCTTTAAAGAAAGTACTTAAGGTGTTTTTTGATGTTTTAATCTAAAGGAGAGGACATACTCAAGATCAAAGACAAACACTTGAATCCATCTCTGATCATAGGAATGCCCCTCATAGAAACAGAGGGGACAGGTGGCAGAGATATAGAAGACACTATCTTCTTAACGTAGACCCCAATTGTGACTTAGCTGATTCTAAGGAATAGGATATCTCTGTAATCAAGGAAGATTGAGATTCAACCTTAGCTGCAGGTGCAGTTACACTGTCTTAAGAAGAGGGACAGCTGTGGCAAGAGCATTAAAAAAAAAAATGCCACTGCCATTGCCTTCTACTGCATATTCCTTCACTTTACAGTCTCAGAAGACCAGAATCAAAGAAATCTTGAAAATAGAACTAGCAAGAGAAGCCTCAACATCTCTGACAGGGTACTCACAACTTCTTAATATTTACATGATGAAACTTAACCCTGATTAAGCCTTTGAACCCAATAAAGTTTTCTCTTTAGAGTAGAACAGCTATTCTAATTCTATGCTACTATTTTAATAACTAGGTTTTTTAAACATCTTTCTGGAATCAAGTTAACCTTCTTTAAGTGGGTTTGTGGCAAGAAATCATGTCANTTTATATATACAGGTATTATTGGGATATATATATATGTGTGTATATATATCCCAATAAATATAAATAATACATACAGTAGAGCATCGTTTATCCAAAATGTTGGTTAACCGAAAGCATTTCAGTCGCCAAATTTAAATTTTCGCTAGTGCTGTGGCACTGCAATCTTTGGCTATATCTTGGGCTACTCCAATATTTTTTTTGTTGGTGTGTGTGTTTTACCTGGCAGCACTGGCACTATTGTGTAGTGTTTTTCTGAGGACTGTGTGTTGTGCTGAATCAAACATTTTTGATTCTAGATTAACTTCTAAAGTATAATTTTTTTTTTGTTTTTATATTTTTCAATATGTTTATTTTGTTTGTAAAAAATAAAGAAATAATTTTTAACGATACAATAGCCACAATTATTACTTTAAAAAGTTTACGTTAGGCTTAACATCGACGAAAATTCAACGTGAAGTGACATGCAATGGAGAAAAATTTCAACACGGGATAGGTTAATATATTTTTTCGTACATAATCAGTTATCCGAAAAATAAGTTATCCAAACAACTTCAGTCCCCAATTGATTCTGATAAATGACGCTCTACTGTATATACATAGACTAGTGGATACACATTTAAGGCATGGAACACTATTTAAACCAACTAAACTGTCTGGTTTTATCACTGTCATCTACCAATGTCATTAACATCCGAAAAAAGTTTAACATTGCACAATAATAATGAGGTTGTGGCCAAAGTTTTCGACGTGAAAACATGAATGTCGGACATTCAGTGCCACCTTCCTGTAAGCCTAGAAGTTTGACAATGGCATTTGGAATGTAAGTGGAATCATGCTTGATGTTTCAAAGACCTTTGTCAAACTTCTAGGCTTACAGGAAGGCGGCACTGAACGTCCGACATTCACGTTTTCATGTTGAAAACTTCAGATGCAACCTTACTAATATTGCAGAAAAACAAAATATGGCTTGCAAATAATAAAATTAATATATTGTCAAACTGTCTGCATATTTGTTCTCCCAACTTAGTCATGTACGTAGAGATGTCGATAAGCACATTCCAAGTATTGGAAATCATTTCAGCATCCTTATTTATACATCTTCCTTGTTGTGAGCCTCTATAAATTTACCATCTCTCTAGTGCTCTCAGCTTAGTAGTGTTGTTTTAATTAATTTGGCATCTTCCTATAGCACTGACACCCTGGGCTCCATCACATATTGTGCCAAAGTGATGGTTGGCTTGTTCTTGGCAATGTCATATTTATGTTCCGTCAATCTTTGCATCCAAAGCCTGTTGCTAGATCCTATATATATATATAAAACTACTATCAAATCTGCCATTGTACAGTACTATTATGAATCAGAGTCAACTCTGTACTACTACTGTATGATGGCAGATTTGACAATTGTCTTTCATTTACCCAAACTAGGAGAGTCTTGCTATCATTTCAATAGCATGCAACCTCCTGGAGGTCAATGTTATCAAACCTTTAACCACATTTCTGCTTTTATTGCTTCCTTGTTCTTAAGAATGGTGCACACATAGACTTAGACATCTTAAACATGGTTGCTAGATCTACCATTCTTAAGATGCCATATGAATCACATGAAAACTTTTCATGTTTCACTATTTTCACCTCAATAGTCAATACTACAACCTTCCTCTTAGGTTTTGTTGTTTCCACACTTTTCTCAGATGCCAAGGTTAACAGATGCATAACCAAACACACTAAGAATAGAGCAAAAATTAAAAAAAAACGCTGAAAACAAATGAGTGTAACACAAAATGTGCATACAAGTTATCTCTTTCTGTGAAAACAACATTATGCAGCAAGTGCATTTTTTCACTGTGCATGCAGTTCAAACTCAAGCATGAATTTTGAATTTAACATTCAAACTCTGGAATGTACCTTGTTCAAAATACTAGGTACCACTGTTTCTGGGAGTTATATGTGAACATTGCTAAAGGGACTAGGTGTTTAGTTGATCATTTCCATTATCAGTTTTTGTGGATTTTTTATAAGACTAAAATTTTGGCTTTTTTTTCAGTAACTTACATCACGAACTCTTATTGATATGGACTTTGTTACTGGATATGCATTTCGAGTTTTAATGACTCTCTTCAGTCCTTATTTTTTTATATGCAGATATTAGCTGATTATTGAATACAGATTGAATTTTGGCAAGCCCATCTTACTCTGCAGTCACTGTCAGGCAACTTGGATAGTTGCAAGTTTATGCTGCTATCATCACATTAGTGATTAAGTGAAAATGGCAGAATATAATGGATCTTGATTTCATGAAGATTGTAACCAGCGATGAGACCTGGATCTACAGGTATAAAACTCTGAGACAAAGACACAATCATCCCAGTGGATAAATGTTATGGTCTCCGTTGCCAAAGAAAGCATGACTCTAGCCAACTTTTGGCTTTTTCCCAAACTCAAGGTGCCAATCAAAGGAAAAAGATTTCAAGACTCAAAGGAGAACAAGAGTAATGCAACATAGTGCTGATGGAGTTCCTGAAAATTACTTTGAAAAATGCTTGCAACAGTGAAAGCATTCATTGCTGGGAGAAGTGTGTAAACTCAGAAGGGACCTATTTTGAAGGGAATTAGTGTTTGAATCTAATAAATACATAGGTGGGTTTCCTCCGACATCAGATTGGATACTTTTTGATCAGACCTTCTATGTCAATGAAATGTTACATGCTGTTCACACCATAGAGAATAGATTTCTGGGAAACAAAAATTAACACTGTAATGACCATACAAAATTTTTTGGGGCCAATTCAATCCTTTTTCTATATTCAACCAGAGAATTGGCCAAAAAAATTTTTGTATGGTCATTACAATGTAAATATGAAAATAATCCTGGAAAAGATATAATTAATAAATAAAACTTAGTTCCTATTTTTGTTCCTAAGTAAATATATGGCATTTCAAGAATAAAAACAACAAATCAGTAAGCAAAACATTATTTTACATCATGTGTTCAATATGTGAGCCATCTGTATCAGTTACATTTGAAGATGTTAATATATTATAAAAACAGTTTGTAAATACAGAATTTTTATTCTAATCATTAAAACTTTTTTATAGATATTTTTGTTGGACAGTTGAAAAATATACTAAAATGTACAGTTTGTGGTTATACATCAGTTACTTTTGATCCCTTTTGGGATCTTTCTCTGCCTATACCTAAGGTAATAATTGAACTTTCAAAAATAATTTTTATTTAAATTTTATTTATTTATTTAAATTAAATTTTATTTTCTAGTCTTGTGGAAGAGTTACACTTCAAGAATGCTTAACATTATTTACAAAAGAAGAAACACTTGATGGTGAAGAGAAACCAGTAATTATATATATATTAATAACTTTTCTATAAATTTGATCAAATTATTTTGTAGTATATTATATAAGATAGAACTCTTGCAATTTAACATTCAAAAAAGTCTGAGCTATTCAGTTACTTAAATAATGCTGTTGACATCAAGATAATAGAAATTATTTTGAATCTGTTTAAGCTTCCAGCATTCTGTTTTTCATTTATAAAGATTTATTACATTAGGTTCTATATTAGGAATAAGCATTAATTGCTAAATGTTGCAAACTTTTATTGAAATATTAATAATAATAGCACACAGTAAGTCCTTACTGAACATTGTCAATAGGTTCATAGAAACATATATCATTTTGTTCAAGATGCAAACAAAATCAATTTTAAGATAGGCTAGTTGAAATAAACAAAAGTTAAATTCCTACAGCATATTTTCAATCACAAAATCATCACTAAACTTCTAAGTGAAGACCTAAAACATTTAAGATTAAACCCTAAAATAAATGTGAGTTATACATACATTTAAGAAAGATTACTGAAAAGAAGCAAGATAATCAAATATTTATGCCAGTTTTGGTAAATCAGTGAGTGCCAACAGCTGGAGTCCTACAAGGTTTTACTACTCATCATTGGTTATGAGGATTAAGAATAAATGTTTGCAAAACAAAAATTGTAGAGAGTACCTCCTACCACTGTGCAATTTTTAAAAAAAATTGGTGATTCCAATAAATTATAGATAGTGCTGCTTATATAAATTTAAAATGGCAAATACAAACAGGGCAATTTTTTTACAATTTACATTGATATTAAATGATATATTCACATTAACAATACATAAGACAAGTTCAAATTATTTGAAGAAGGTGATGAATATGAATTACATTAACCATATTTCAAGCAAAAATTTTGTTGTTGTTGTTGAATTGTGTGCAATCTCCAGCATTTAATTCCCACTTCATAAAATAATTTTTACTTTTTATGAATAAAATTCAGCAACAATAATTAATTGTAAATAATTACAAATGTGTTTGTATTTTTTTCCACCAATGTTTTAAAATGTAATGAGATTAAGTGGGGATTTACTGTATAACATAATCTGATATGTCTTTTGCTTGTTATATAATACTACAGAATTATTTTTGTAGGATTAATTTAAAATTCAAATTTTTATAATAAATGAGATAACTTATAATTTTTTTTATAATTAACAATTTGTTTTAAGAAATTTATAAATTAAATTATCAACTAATAAATTTTGAAAAAAATGCTTGCTTGAGATTTTGTATATTCAGAAATTTTGGATTAAACCAAATTATATTTGGTTAATTATCTTTTTCATAATTTAGTAGTTGTATTTTTTATACATATTAAAAATATAAAACATAAACTTTTTGAGACTAATTTTATCTATTTGGAATTTTTCTAACTTTGTTTCTAATTTATCCATTTAATTTTTATTACAGACATTATAATAAAATAAGTAAAATTAGATTTAAAGCACAAACAATAATTGAAACTATTATTATATAATAGTAAAAATTATAAAATTGATTATCAGTTCTTGTGATTATAGGGATATTGTAATTTTATCAAATGTTACTTTATTAATCTTATATATTCCCAAATGAAAAATGTACAAAGCTCATGCAATGTCATATCTTCTGTGCTACTACTAGAGAACCAGTTTTTAAATTATAAACATGTTTTTATTAAACGAATGATACAGATTATATAAATTCAGTGAACTCTCATTAGCCTCACTTATTTGATTACTATCATCAGTTTTTGATGTTCAACAGAAACCCAGTTAAGTTTAGAGTTAGTAATTATTGTCAACCCTTTTTTCTAATTTAAAGTATATGCATAGTTTATTAAACAATAGTTAATGTTAGCATAATTCTGGCATATAAGTAAAAGGTAATACTTTAACTTTGATAAATTTCCAACAAAATGTCAGTTAAATTTACGTGTGTTGTGTTGAAAATGTCAGGATTTTTCAGATTTAAAAAGTTTCATTTAATGTGTAGTACTTTTATCTGGCAAAATGTATATTATTTTATTATACATTGATATTAAGGATTTCATATTAAATTAATTTTGTATTTTTTTCTTTATAATTATTATGAAAAAGTAATGAAGTAATGAGGATTGAGAGAGTGATCATTATACAGTATTTTTTTACTCATATATATATATATATATGAGTAAACTATATATTCTGAAACTATATATATAGTTTCAGAAAATTCCTAAAATGAAAGTATCATCATACAATGGCAGGTTTCTCAAAAGTTCTCAAAATAAAATGCATAAAAATATTGAAAAATGAAGAAAATTTTTTAAGAAAATAAATAAATTCTGTCCATTTTCTAAATAAAATTGTCACTCTTTCTGGCATATAAATTTTCTTATTTAATTATATATTTATTTTTAATTGTCTTGTATTCAGAGATTAGATATTTATAATGGTTGTTATATAACAGTTAAATATTATATATAAATTTCATTTTTATTATGGAATTTATGAAANATTAAAAGTCTCAATGCACTGTTTTACCAATATGTATATTTATTATATCAGTTCTTGTGATTATAGGGATATTGTAATTTTATCAAATGTTACTTTATTAATCTTATATATTCCCAAATGAAAAATGTACAAAGCTCATGCAATGTCATATCTTCTGTGCTACTACTAGAGAACCAGTTTTTAAATTATAAACATGTTTTTATTAAACGAATGATACAGATTATATAAATTCAGTGAACTCTCATTAGCCTCACTTATTTGATTACTATCATCAGTTTTTGATGTTCAACAGAAACCCAGTTAAGTTTAGAGTTAGTAATTATTGTCAACCCTTTTTTCTAATTTAAAGTATATGCATAGTTTATTAAACAATAGTTAATGTTAGCATAATTCTGGCATATAAGTAAAAGGTAATACTTTAACTTTGATAAATTTCCAACAAAATGTCAGTTAAATTTACATGTGTTGTGTTGAAAATGTCAGGATTTTTCAGATTTAAAAAGTTTCATTTAATGTGTAGTACTTTTATCTGGCAAAATGTATATTATTTTATTATACATTGATATTAAGGATTTCATATTAAATTAATTTTGTTATGGTCTCCGTTGCCAAAGAAAGCATGACTCTAGCCAACTTTTGGCTTTTTCCCAAACTCAAGGTGCCAATCAAAGGAAAAAGATTTCAAGAATCAAAGGAGAACAAGAGTAATGCAACATAGTGCTGATGGAGTTCCTGAAAATTACTTTGAAAAATGCTTGCAACAGTGAAAGCATTCATTGCTGGGAGAAGTGTGTAAACTCAGAAGGGACCTATTTTGAAGGGAATTAGTGTTTGAATCTAATAAATACATAGGTGGGTTTCCTCCGACATCAGATTGGATACTTTTTGATCAGACCTTCNATAACAATTTTCGTTTTAAATTTTATTGCAAACAATAACTTTGTTAAATGGTAATTTATATCACAAGTAAATTGCAGTAATTTGCGTAAAGAATATTATTTATTTAAAGAAAAAATTATACGAGAAAGTTGTTAGATAATCTTTTAAATCTATTCATTTTCACTAAATTGTCATTAAATCCATTCTTCGGTTATGGTAAATTTGTGATGCTTAGAGTTTGATTAATTGTCCATTAATTGAAACTTTACTAAAGATTCATGAAACAAATCCTGGATAAATTTAATCAACTAAAGAATTAAAGAACTCAATTTAAAAGTAAACGAAAAATATTGACAATAACTGAATTAAATTCTATAAATATTTTGACAATTTGTTATTAAATTAATGTATGTTTCTGGAAAAATTGTGGATATGTGTTTAGTATTTTCTTTGAAAAAATAAAGTATGTGTAATTACTTTGAACGCATTTCATTTCATTTCTTTGGCCATTAGCTGAATGGATAAAAATCACTGAAAACTGGTAGTTGGTCGTAGCTTCGTGCATCACCAACGGACTGGCCACGTGGAGTTTTTCGACCTTTCTTCACATGTCAAACGCCTAAAAAGGGACCTGTTTCTTATAAAAGTCCTCCAGTAGGAACTTCCCCTTAACAGATCCCTTATACTTCATTAAGCAGAAAATAAAATTATAATTTAAATGATAAATTTTACTCAGACTTGTTCAAGATGCAAGGCAAAGAGGAAATGTATAAAAAAGCTTATGGTTCATAAATTCCCACAGATATTATTGTATAACTATAATTTAAATGATAAATTTTTTTCAGACTTGTTCAAGATGCAAGGCAAAGAGGAAATGTATAAAAAAGCTTATGGTTCATAAATTCCCACAGATATTATTATTACGTATCCTTTTTTTGTCAGAGATATTAAGGATTTGTAATTTTAAAAAATTCCATGAGATGACATCATTACGGACAAAAATTGCTTTCATCAAAAAAATGGTAATAACCAGAAATGGATGTAGTGAGTGTCAGTGGAATAATCTCCCCTGTGAATTTTTCATTGTTAATATGAGCTTGCAGTTTCTTTAAAATATAAACATATTACTTTTTTTTTTTTTTTACATTTTTAGGTTGTAAAATTATGTATTTAGTTTCTTTTAAATAGGAGGAGAGTACAAGTATCACAGGTCACTTTTTACATAATATTATTTAAAAAATTAAAAATTTTTTCAATATTTTTTATCTTATATGTGCATGTACCATAACTATTTCACTTGTAATAGTAAAATTTTCTGCCATTGAATGTTGTTATTTTCTTGAAATAAAAAAAAATGAAATCCCAAACAATCTATGACCCTTAGTGTTCCACGGGTGTGGTACTATGGGTCATATTATCTGTAGTTATTAGTAGTGGTTTTAATGCTGAATAACATTATTTTACTGATGAACTCCATTTTTTTTTTACCATTTGTAAGCATATGATAATTAGTTTAAGTTAATGTCAAAGTGCAGCTGTTTTGATATTAATGTAGTTCCACTCATCTGCTTGGTTTTAGGAAGCTTCAGAACCACACCTTCGGGGACATTGATATCAACATTGTCAAATCAGTGGGAAAATAAACTTGAAGATTTCTGCAAGAGACATATACAACAACACAACATGCCCATCATCAATATATGAAATATAAACTTATTCTGAAATACTTGGTTGTAAAATTTTATAAAAGTATGAGCTTTATATTCCAGGCTGAAAAGTTTAATCTAGTCCAATTGTTCCAACTCATTTTAATTGGAGAATTCTTTTCACCTTGATAAAAAGTTTTGACACCCTGACAATTTTTACTGATTATAAATGAAACAAAAAAATCTAAAATTAATTAGAATATATAGATAAAGCAGATTAATCATCATTATTAATTCAAATTGGTAATTAATGTGAAAAATTAATTTTTTTCAGATTATTTCATTAGCATACGAGAATCAAATGCATTCAATTCTTTGTGAATTTTTAAACAAATACTCAAGTATTCAAATATTACCACCCACCGAGTAATAGCTTCTCTGACAGGAATGAATACGTTAGTAGTCAAATATAAAGAATTGAATATTCAGGAAATAATCAAATATATGATTCTGTTCTCCTACCATTAGACTCGGATTTTATAATCAACAAATTTGAGCCATGTAGAGTCTGTGTACATGACCCCTTTCTTATGGAATGTTAATAGTTTTTGAAACTTTATTTAAATTATTAAAAATCATAAAAGAAGTTGACCTTTTTTTATGAGCAGCTAAGTAAATATTTCACTGTATTAAATAGGTATCTGCTAGGGTTTCTCTTTCCATAGCCATTCTAATAAGTCCAGTTATGGTTCCAGCAACAAATTAAAAGTCTCAATGCACTGTTTTACCAATATGTATATTTATTATTCCATTTGTTATTATAAAATGCATTTCGGTTGTAAATATCCTTCTTCAAATGTAACCAAAACAAATAAAATAAAACTTACATAAAACTTTCATAGAAACATTATAATATCAAACTTGTAACATTTTCTCTTCATTACAGCAGTTTTAGCTGCCAACAAACACTATTCATTAACAATCAGTTTGTGTATTTATATCTATGCAACTATCCCAGCATTCTGCTGGTTGCATACCTGTGTTTAAATTAATATTATATACATTTTTTATAATTGTGTAATGTTCTATAATTTTTCTTTTTTTAAAGTATTTTCAAATAATTATTTATAAAAACAAGACTCTCCTTAATAATTCAAAGATCTAAAGAGATTTTCCCAGAGTGGTAGTTTTCGGGACAAGCTTCACACCACCGTAGAATATCCGCTCAGTGGCTTAGACATGATTCCATACGCAACACAATTGGCTAGGGGTAATTTATCCTTTCATTATTAGACAATATTTTGCCATATTGGAATGATGATAACTAATAAAAATTTGAATTTTTAGGCCGTGCAAATTATAATTTATATGCCGTGGTCCATCACAGCGGTAGTTCTTTCTCAGGACACTACACGGCATCTTGCTGTCATCCAGACACTCATCAATGGTACAGATACAACGACGAAAANTATAATTAATGATTATTTATATTACACATTTTTAAAACCCAGAGAAAAAGATAAGGTTACCTGAAACAATATTTATTTAAAATCAATTAAGTTAGTTATTTTATTATTAAAGATAAATAGCTACATAATGTGTTCAGAAAACTTGTAATGTGCCACGTGATCAAAATCTGAAAAAGCGGTGTTACACAAAATTAAACATACTGTCAGACAATTCAGTGCAAACGTAGATTGCCTTTGATACTCATACACTCAAGTTTGCTTTCAGGAACACACTTCTCTGTTGAACTGGTAAGTTGTCTTTTAACTGGCTTACAAAGTGTAATGTCACACTATTTACATATTTCTGAGTGTTACAGGATCAGTCACATGTGCAAGTGAATGTTCATTTGAATTAAGTTTGTTTTGGGATTTTCAGTCCTTAAAAATATAATGAAACGTCAAAAACAGAAAATAGTAATAATTAAAAATAACACCAAAACATAAAATAACAATAACAATTGGACTTACTCCTTACAAACTGTCCCTTGCATATTCAATATTTGCCGATCTATTTTTCCATACATATCTGATAATTTTGAGCCTATAACAGAACCATAGATATACCATTTTTTTGTTGATAAATTTATTTTCTGCTTTAAAATTATTTTTAAAGGTTAGTTCTATAAATTCTTGCTTTATATTATGTTTAATTAAATTCTCTTTAACTAATTCCCATTTTATTATCAATATGTAACCAGTTCTCTAGGAATTATTCCATTTTATTGACTGATATATTGATACTATATCTAAGCTGTATATTCATTCTATATGATGACTTAATTTTTTAAGACCCATTAGTTTTGTTATAAAAACATCTGTATTCTTTGTTGTATCTAGATTTAAATATAAAAATTTCTTAAGAAAAAGCTTAACTGTATAAATTTTACAATAGAGAGAAATGTAGACTGTTAGTAGATTTTAAATTCTCTCCTTTATGCATTTTTAGTGTTATATTTAGTTTTGGTGTTGTAAGATTATCAAAATCCAATATGTTTTTTTTCTCACCTGTTGATTTCCTGGTATAATTTTCTGTACCCACTATTTCAGTTATTTTTGCTTTGAATCAATCTTCTCTCACTAGCACTGATTGTCTTGCCTCATCTACTTTAATTATTACAAGTTTTTCTTTTAAAAAATTTTTTAACAACTTTATAATTTTCTTTATAAAATTTACTGTTCTTATGTTATAATAGGATCACCTTTTTGATGTTCTTTTATACTTTGAGATCTATACTAAGTTCTTGTCTCCAGATTTTCTTTTCTGGTTCTTCTATGTCCAATTGAAATAATTCTTGTATATCCTCTATAATAATTGTTTTTTCATAAATTTGGTGCATTCATAGATGATATTCTTTATTACTTGATAGCTGCTTGTTCTTTGTGTACTTCAGGAATAAAGCACAAAATTGCTGTATAGAACTTATCATACAGGAACACACTTTACAAAATTGTAAAGTCTATCTTCTTTATAATTTCCAATTGTTTTTGTACAAAGGTTATGCATATTTGCCCCTCTTCAAACCTTTTTTTTTTTTTTTTTTTTGTACAATTATAAATTGTGAATTTCTGGGGTTCTGGTTGACCCGTCACACAGTTTTGAATGGCCATTAAATTGTTGGAAAATCGGAAATAAGTAAATATTCCAATTTTTTTGGAATTTTATCAAGATTTCCAGACACCACCTAGTCAAATTTAATGCAGGCTAGGATCCAATTTTACTTTATCAAAAATTTCTGGATTTATAGGAGAGAGACGTTTTGACTGTGGGGAAGACACTGGAGTAAACCTTAACTATTTTGGAAATCAAACATACTCAATATCTAAGCAAGATTTTAAATTTATTAATACTAATAACAAAATACAAATTAAGATTAACAATAACAACAATCCAGTTTAATATACTTAAAGAGGAACTAAGATTAGAACATTTTCTAGCAAATGGAGAGAGTTTACAACTTATAATTGAAATTTTTATACTTATATTTCTTTAAGTTCATTTAGGTGGTATTCTTTTTTTTTTCTTCTTTGTATAAGTGTTGATGGTTGAATTTAGACAGGGAATTTTCAATGGTATGGTGGGAAGGGTGTGGAGGTGTCCCTATTTGAATCTCCCTCAATTGGGTTTCCAAGCACTATTCTATCGTGGTTGGCCCTATTTATTCTATTTCAATCGTCAAAGAAAGTCCTGTTGTGACTCACAACTTTAGTGTTTATGTTAATATAATAAACACGGTCAAAATAATTACGGTATCCATTCCTGGATTTCACAAAATATTGCTTAATAAATTACATTATAATTAATGATTATTTATATTACACATTTTTAAAACCCAGAGAAAAAGATAAGGTTACCTGAAACAATATTTATTTAAAATCAATTAAGTAAGAATGTAAAGCAAGTAAAACTAAAATAAAAATTAAGTAAAATAAAATACATACTATGAAAATAGAATAAAAAGATTAAAAATAAAATTTGGAAAAAATTTTGTAGAAAAAAACATATGAACACACAAAACTATAAAAGAATTAAAACCAACTTAAAGATATAAAATCCTTCACTGTATATATATCAGATGAATCAATTGTCAAGTATTACAGTGGTTAACTAAAGGAGGGGGAGAGGGGAAGGACATCTTAAAATGGACTCCTCTTAATTTTGAAGTAATGATTGCAATGGGGCCAAAGTACAGTACTGTATTTTTCATTGTTAAAATCTCCAAAGGGCAGAAACTGGAAGTATGAGGATTTTGGAAATTTCGTTGGCTATCCAAAGGTTACTTTGACATAGTTAGTTAGAATACATGTCAGAGAAGATCAATTTGTCAAAATTTGAAAAATATGATGGAAATAATTGTGGCTGATACAAAATTCATACCAAAGTTATTAGTCAATACATACCTGAAAACTGCTTTAGGGGAATGCAACAATAGTCAGGACATATATGACAATGGTTGCTATTCCTTTGCTAAAGGGTCATGACATTACCACTTGTTTTATCTAAATGTATAGACAGACATTCTCTTTTAAAAACAGATATTATGTCCAGTATCATAATCCTCTCTGCTTCCTTATCTTCTTGGGTTCTTGACCTACGGAAAAGTAACCCCACTCTGTTCTTGTGATTGACCGTCACGATCGTAAAGTAAGGAAAAAATATGTTAGTCTGAAACATTTGTAGGGGTATAGAATTGAGTGTCATTCGAATGAGAGATTTTACACATTATCTCCCATTGGCTTCAGCCAGGACCAGTGAAAAAATCTCATAACTGAGAGGTCATAGTTTTCTATGTTTTCCCAGGCCTCAGGAGGATAGAAGAGGCTAGAACTTGAGTCCCAGGTGGACACTGGTGAACCTCCCTACAGGCAACACCCGTCTCGCTATATCCAGGCGAACCTCCTCAGAGCGGACATACTCAGCCATAGAGAGATTCGACTAGAACCACCATACGACGGAGACCATGGCTCGCCTTAGAATGCTATATACTCCTCCAGGGAAATAGAGGACAACATCTCTTTCTCAGAGTATTTTGTTAGCCCATGTGTAAACTCACTCTCTCCTTAAACATAGATAAAATGGGAACAGTTTCCCGAGAACCTTGTGAGCCACATGCTGATGCAAGTAGCTTAGTTGTGTATTCTGTAGTCTTCTGTAATCTTAGATTTAGAGATGTATTAAACTTTTGTTACTTGTTAACCTGTCTGTCCGTCTTTCTCGGACACCCTATCAACTTACTGATTGCGCTCCCCACTTGACAGTTTGAATTGACCCTCCTACTCCACATTTGTTTGATTTGTGCATTAGGACGCACCTAACCCTCCTAACCGGTGTCAGATCCTGACAGGGGACAGAAATCTCTCAATTTCCTTGTCTCCAATAATCTACAAAGCCATCCACTGACAATGTGAATGGTTTTCGCCAAACCGTCGCTGATTAAGCAGTTAATAGGGAATCCCCTTTGCCTCTGATTTCTCACAATAGACATTTGTCTTTTCTAATCTTAAAGACTGTTTGTGTTAGCAGTGAAGATAGTGATAATAGTCAGTTCATCAGTTTTGTGGAAAACTTCCAAATCTGAATCAATATTTACTGTTTTAAAAAAATTGAGAACATTTCACAAATTTTGACAGTTTGTTCTCTTCAGCTTAACAAGGAAAGTAGCAGTAGTAGCAGATGTTTTCAAATATATTAAAGCTGCCTTTGCAGATGGAAATGATCAAATGTCAGACTTTTGTTATTTCGAACATCACTATATTTTTAACTATATTTATAGTCTTCAATATTAAAAGCTTAATATCATGCATATTTAATTCAGAATTGAATTAAATGTGCATGATATTAAATAACCAGAAACATTAAAAAACATTATATGTAGTTTTATGGCTAACATTACGTAATTATCATGTAGTCTTTTAGAAATAAATAATTATTTATAAAAACAAGACTCTCCTTAATAATTCAAAGATCTAAAGAGATTTTCCCAGAGTGGTAGTTTTCGGGACAAGCTTCACACCACCGTAGAATATCCGCTCAGTGGCTTAGACATGATTCCATACGCAACACAATTGGCTAGGGGTAATTTATCCTTTCATTATTAGACAATATTTTGCCATATTGGAATGATGATAACTAATAAAAATTTGAATTTTTAGGCCGTGCAAATTATAATTTATATGCCGTGGTCCATCACAGCGGTAGTTCTTTCTCAGGACACTACACGGCATCTTGCTGTCATCCAGACACTCATCAATGGTACAGATACAACGACGAAAAGTTAGTAGTTTCTTTAGATTTGAATTTTCTGTAATGTCATAAACTTTTTACATTTTATTTATTTATTTATTTAAATTTTCAGTGCAATTGCCATCAGTTCAAACGAAGTTACCCTTTCAGAAGGATATGTGCTATTTTACGAATTGGGAAGCCAGTCGTCCAGATTGTAAATAATACTCAGGGTGCTACTGAAGATGGGACCGTACTTTTGTGAAAAACTAGCTTTAGTTTCGCGTCGAATCGCTGTGATCTACCGGTTTAAAACATTCCATTTGGTGAGACAACCAGAGAATAACAATCAAATAGTAAAAGTACCTCAATTTTTTTCTTAAAATGCTCTCTAAGTTTAAACAATTCTTAAATATTAGTTAAAACATTATTATAATTTAGAAAGCAATTTCTAATCAAATTGTAAAATATTGATAAAGGATCGATATTTACCTAATATCAATATTTTATACTGAGGGATTTTAATTAAACATGGATTTCACCCAGTTCAGAATGGAATTACTGCCAATGAAATTAATCTGGCAATCGTGTAATTTTAAGGCACAGCCAAAATCTTCTACATCTATTTTCCTAAATTAGATTTTAAAAAAAATTAGGAATAGGGGAAGTCTAGGCAAAAGTTACTAATATTTTTAAACGAACAAATATACAACAAATGATCCATATCGAGTACGTTTCCAAATGATTTTATCTCATATAATATGTCATTTTGGGCAAATGGTTTTCCGTAATCATAAAGAACATTTCTGAATGTGGCCGGTGAGTGGATCTGTATTAATCTGGCAAAATAATGCCATTCCCGATCCAAAATTATTATTTGAATTTAAATCTGAGAGAGCAAATATAGTATTATTTTATCATTTTTTCAACAGAAAATATGTTTTTATTTAAAATAAATTAATTAAATAAAAGAAAATTTAATTTCTTAAACTAAGTTAATCTGTTCTTCTAAGCTTTCATATAACTACATATGAATGCTTTTCCTACTTTCAAATCTTGTTAAATTTATTTACCATTACTTGATATATCAAATATCTTTACATTAAATTGAAAGTTGCAAATATGAAAATTAGTCTAATGTAACAACCACTTATTTATCTTTTAAGACAGTGATTTTCAACCACTGTGCCACTGTGAGATTCTTGAAATGTGCTGCACTGCAAATATCCATACATATGCGACATCAGACAAGTAGTTCAATTGGTTCTACCTTCCTAGGGCGTGATTGGAAATTGTAATCTGTGTTATTGGTAACTGCCAATATTTATCAAGGCGTTTAGAAAATGTGACCTAAATAACCAACTGCATTTAAAAATCAGTTATGATGTCACCAGTTGCCCTGCAGCACTTACCGAAATAACTGTGTGCGCCACCAAATTTTTAAATTACTAGCAGACCCAGCCACGCATTGTTGTGGCTCAAAATGTATCTATTATAAATGTATAACACTTCCCCGTGGGGGGAATTTTTCGAAAAACTCTTAGTGTACATTTTCTTGACTTACCCTATTAAAACACAATCAAAAACGCAAAAAACCCCATCTGAAATAGTATAATAGAAGCCAAGTTCTTCACAGTAAGCCTTAATCCTGTCCCTCTCCCCTGCGGGAAATATCGAAAAATCCCTTTGTAGTGTATATTCTGTTGACATGCCCTATTAAAACCCAATCAAAAATGCAAAAAACCAGAGTACTTTATGGTAAGCCTTAATCCTGTCCATCTCCCCAGGGGGGATTTTGACATGTATATTATATAAAAACACATGCATATTCGAATGCAGCGTTGTGTCAAAATTTCAAAGGAATTGGTAGGAACAAACAAACATTACATTTTTATTTATATAGATAGATAGATGATGATCTGCTTTAGTTCGTTTCTCAGAAAAGCATAATGCCTCACAGAAAAGCAAACTTAGGTCATCGTACTCGTAGCGCCATCTGTTGGACATAAAAGCCTTAACCTAGATTATATATTTTAATTTATATAATGTTTAACGGAATAATATACAGCCTATGTCCACCCTGAGGTTCCATTCTAAATATTGGTGAAAGAATTTTTGAAATCAGATGAGTAGTTTCGGAGATTACCTGCTGCAAACAAACTTACAAACATTACCTCTTTATAATATTAGTATAGATTAAAAGTGTATTGTGAAGGAAAAAAGGTTGAGAATCACTATTCTAAGGTAACGTGAACTCGGGCACTTTAGACGATGGAAACTTGGTTAACATGGAATGTTCAGTAAATTATTAGAATATATTCAAATCTGGCATATATTATCTTTAAGTTAATCTGTTTATTGAAATATCTTTTAATTTTGTATTGTATAATTTAGAAGTATTTTCAAACCCTACAGTTAAAAAAGATTAGTTTACAATTGAAATTCCTTTGTCGTGAAAATCACCTAAGAAGTTTTGAAAAGAATTGACTCCGACAGACAATGCACAAAACAGGCTGGAGAACCCTTTTCACACATTGTGCCATTTAGGAAACAGACCACACTGTACTATATTACGGCCCCTCGTCTTTGTCGTCAGATTATTCTTTTGTACCGTATCCAGACCGGGATTTATCTCAGACTTTTTCAATATTTGTTTTTGTTCAATTAACCAAAAAACTTTCTTTGATTTGTTTTTTGAAACCGTGTCCTGTTTTATATTTGTGGCGTAGTAAACACTAGTATTGTGTTTTATTCCAAAGACAGATGGCAAATTTTCCATCAAATTCCTTTATTAGTTGAGTCGATACGGTACATTGTTTTGTACTCGTTTCGGGCTTTGCCCCTCTTCAGTCAACTAAAATACAATATATATATTTTAACTTATTACAGTGGAGAATTTACATAAAACAATGAGTACATAAATGATATACAGACGTACCTTTTGGTTAAACTTTGTATAATTTAAAAACATTAAAATCTGCTTTAATCTTTTGTAAATAAACTAGTATATATTACAAATTAAAAGGTTAAAATCTTCTAAAACCTTCTCTTTTACGCATATTTTGATACAACACAACTGCAAAAAATATTTAGCTGTTTCCGCCCCCTTTTTATTTTTTCTTTTGTGCTGGTATCTCAAGTGTTGCCACGTATGACGTTTGCCACCTTGTGGTTTGATTTTTACCAAAATCTGTCTTGGAAAAATTATTTCTAGGAGAAATTGCTTTTCACAGGAAAAAAAATTATTTATAATACATTAATCTAGTTTTCGTTTATTTTAAGACTTAAGTTTTTATTTATACTGTCTTTACTTTTCATGATTTCTATAGTTTCTTTAAACTTTCTGTTGTACGTTAATTTTTCTTTATGCAGTATTTCTACGTTATCTTTATCTATATTACAGTTGTTTATAGTACAATGTTCGTAAAATGCAGAATTTATTCTATTGTATTTAAGATCTGCTATGTGTTCTTTCAGTCTAGTTTTTACTTTTCTTTTTGTTTCTCCTATGTAATGTTTTTTGTTTGCGCAGGTACACGGAATTTTGTATACTACACCTTGGTTTTCGATCGGTATTTGCTGGTTTTTCTTCTGGTTCGTGGTTAACAGTCTGCTTTCCATTTTTTGATATGATGGTGCTAATTTGTAGTTTATTTTTTCTATTTCTGC